GCATCCGAACAGAATAGGTAGTGAGATTGCCTCTTGCTGACTGGAACAGCTTCATGACAAGAAAAGCATCTTTTTAATCCCAGGAAGCCTGGCAGTCACAAGCAAATTATTGACAAATTGACCTCTATTAAAAGGGGGGGAAAACCTCAGTAGTAATGATCTATGAACAAAAAATATAAAAACATTTGACTTTTTAAAGAAAGAAAGAAAGAAAGAAAGAAAGAAAGAAAGAAAGAAAGAAAGAAAGAAAGAAAGAAAGAAAGAAAGAAAGAAAGAAAGAAAATTTCAACCATGAAAAACACTGGATATTAAAGTAAATTCCAAATACTCATAGAGAACAGGCACAGTTGTAGACTCCATCACAGGTTGCAGGCAACTGAGAAAGAACTGAGGGTGGTTCACATGCAAGGACCCATCTAGTCTTGGTGTGGGCCATGAAGATTTGCAAGGTGCAGGCAGACTCTGCTACCAAAAATTCCCAGCCACAGGCACATCTGTAGTGGAGAACCCCCAAGAACACTTCTCAAAGAATCATAAAATACTAGGACTGGAAGGGACCAAGAGGTCATCGAGTCCAGTCCCCTGCCCTCATGTCAGGCCCAAATACTGTCTAGATCATCCCTGATAGACATTTATCTAACTTACTCTTAAATATCTCCAGAGATGAAGATTTCACAACCACCCTAGGCAATTCATTCCAGTGTTTAACCACCCTGACAGTTAGGAACTTTTTCCTAATGTACAATCTAAACCTCCCTTGCTGCAGTTTAAGACCATTGCTTCTTGTTCTGTTCTTAGAGGCCAGGAAGAACAAGTTTTCTCCCTCCTCCTTGTGACACCCATTTAGATACCTGAAAACAGCTATCATGTCCCCTCAATCTTCTGTTTTCCAAACTAAACAAGCCCAATTCTCTCAGTCTTCCTTCATAGGTCATGTTCTCTAGACCGTTAATCATTCTTGTTGCTCTTCTCTGAACCTTCTCCAATTTCTCCACATCTTTCTTGAAATGCGGTGCCCAGAACTGGACACAATACTCCAACTGAGGCCTAACCAGCACAGAGTAGAGCATAAGAATGACTTCTTGTGTCTTGCCCACAACACACCTGTTAATGCATCCAAGAATCATTTTGACTTTTTTTGCAACAGCGTCACACTGTTGTCTCATATTTAGCTTGGGGTCCACTATAACACCTAGATCCCTTTCTGCCGTTCTGCTTCCTAGACAGTCGCTTTCCATTCTGTATGTGTGAAACTGATTGTTCCTTCCTAAGTGGAGCACTTTGCATATGTCCATACTAAACTTCATCCTGTTTCACCAGTTCGTCCAGATCATTTTGAATTATGACCCTATCTTTCAAAGCAGTTGCAACCCCTCCAAGGTTGGTATCATCTGCAAACTTAATAAGCGTACTCTCTATGCCGATAACTAAATCGCTGATGAAGATATTGAACAGAACCTGTCCCAAAACAGACCCCTGTGGAACCCCACTTGTTAGTCCTTTCCAGCAGGATTGTGAACCATTAATAACTACTCTCTGGGAATGGTTATGCAGCCAGTTATGCACCTACCTTATAGTAGCTCCATCTAAGTTGTATTTGCTTAGTTTATTGATAAGAAGATGATGTGAGACCGTATCAAATGCCTTACTAAAGTCTAGGTATACCACATCAACTGCTTCTCCCTTAGCTACAAGACTTAATATCCTATCAAAGAAAGCTACCAGATTGGTTTGACATGATTTGTTCTTTACAAATCCATGCTGGCTGTTTCCCTATCACCTTATTATCTTCCAAATGTTTGCAGATGATTTCCTTAATTACTTGTTCCATTATCTTTCCTGGCACAGAAGTTAAACTGACTGGTCTGTAGTTTCCTAGGTTGTTTTTATTTCCCTTTTTATAGACAGGCACTATATTTGCCCTTTTCCAATCCTCTGGAATCTATCCGGTCTTCCATGATTTTCCAAAGATGATAGCCAAAGGCTCAGATACCTCCTCTATCATTTTCTTGAGTAGTCTAGGATGCATTTCATCAGGCCCTGGTGACTTGCAGACATCTAACTTTTCTAAGTGATTTTTAACTTGTTCTTTTTTTATTTTATCTTCTAAACCTACCCCCTTCCCACTAGCATTCACTATGTCAGGCATCCTTCATCAGACTTCTTGGTGAAGACTGAAACAAAGAAGTCATTAAGCATCTCTGCCATTTCCAAGTTTCCTGTTACTGTTTTCCCCTCGTCACTGAGCAATAGGCCTACCCTGTCCTTGGTCTTCCTCTTGCTTCTAATATATTTATAGAATGTTTTCTTGTTTCCCTTTATGCCTGTAGCTAGTTTGAGCTCGTTTTGTGCCTTTACCTTTCTAGTCTTGCCCCTGTGTTCCTGTATAGTTTGCCTATATTCATCCTTTGTAATGTGTTCTAGTTTCAATTTTTTATATGACTCCTTTTTTATTTTTAGATCAGGCAAGATCTCCTGGTTGATCCAAGGCGGTCTTTTGCCATATTTTCTATCTTTCCTATGCAGCGGAATAGCTTGCTTTTGGGCCCTTAACAATGTCCCTTTGAAAAACTGCCAACTTTCTTCAGTTGTTTTTCCCCTCAGTCTTGCTTCCCATGGGACCTTACCTACCAGCTCTCTGAGCTTACCAAAATCTGCCTTCCTAAAATCCAAGAAGAACTAATGTCTAGTGCTGAATCTTACTTGTGCCTCTGTTCATACTCAAGATGGGACACAACAACAAGCGGAGTGCAGTGGAGACTCAGTAGGAACAGAGGCTCTGAGGCAAACAAACACTTTTATGTGTCAGTTATCTCAGGGTCTGTGTTTGCATTGGAGCTAACTCACGTGACCTTCTCTGCAAAGTTACTGCCCCAGAGTTAGGCTACCTGGTGAAAGCAGGCATAATGGGAAATAGCCCTTGAGTTTCTTCATTCACACTGACACTGCATTCACTTACATGTGGCAATAACAATCTAAGGGCATGTGCCATTGTTAAGCGCTACAGTAAGAGAAGCCAATCTATGAATTCTTTCCTATGTATTGTGGGACAACTTGTCTGTTTTTTCAGAGCACACAGGGGCAACTGTGGGAAGATATTACAAGGTTAGTGGCTTTAGGGTGGAGCTAGCCAGCACCCACATGGTCAAGAGATTATGTTAATAGCTGACTTAAGTGCTAGTCTATATCCCATCTCAGACCAGCTCACCTGAATTGATAAACACTAGCAAGCTCGAGTTAAGAATTTTTGCATGTGGAAAGGAAGTTGAGCTAGGAGCAACGAGAGTTATAAATTGAGTTCACTACAAAGTATCACCAATCAAGATAGGGGAAACAAGTTAAAGAGTTATTCAAGAATGAAACATCTGAGCAGTTAGAAAAGAGGTCGGCAATAACATGGTTGTAGTTCACCAGGATTAGCCCCTGGTGGGCTGCTGCTGCTATGTTTACCTGCATGGCTGCAGGTACTGGCAATTGCAATAACCATTGTTCTGGGGAACACCATTCCTGGCCAACAGGAGCAGTGGGAAGCAGTGCAGGCTGGGACACCACTTCCTGCAGCTCCCATTGGTCAGGACTTCCAATCCATGGCCAATGGGAGCTGCAATCATGGCCATGCAGGTAAATATAATGGTGGGAGCCTGCTAGGAGCTAACCCTGGCAGACCGGATGTGGCCCCTAGGCCAGTATTTGCCTTCCCCTGAGTTAGACCCTATTAAAAAAATGCAGAAAGACTTCCGCAACAAATATTTTGTAGCTTTTCATGTCACTTTGTTGGTGAGCATTCCAATGTTTTATAATCACACAGTGCACAAGAAGCTTTTTTTTTTAAAAAAAAGTAATTTGGTAGAAATGTGTTGAAAATTTTTGATTCAAAAATTCCTGACCAGCTCCATTTGCAGTGCAAATTGTCAGCTAATAGGACCAATAGGGAAAAGAGAGCCAGAAATCCTCAACCTTTTTGTTGTGATCCAAAGCCTCATGCTTCTCCTTTAGTCAACTGGCCACAACAGGCCTGACTTTCATATGTACTGAGTACTCCTCTAGTGCTCACTGAAATCATGGGAGCTGTGGCTATCTGAGTTCAACACCAAGTGTAAAATTCATGATGCATCAATCCAACCAGGACTATAGCATTACTGGTTTTGCTCCCTTTCTCCTTGAAGTTCATGAGGGGGCTGCCCACATTTTCTGCAAAGCAATGAGACCTACCTCATCAATTCTCTCCTGTACTTTCTTCTTCCATTAATGAATAATTAATCTGATACTGCTGCTTTTTAAAAGCTTTTAAATCCCTGCTGGAGGTTGCTATGGTGACCTATTTGAATATAATAATACAAGTTTTGAACAACGCCGCAGATCGGTGGGCAATACATGGTCATGTTCATACATTTCCAAACACAAAAAGAGACTTTCAAAGCAGTCAAGGGATCAAGTTGTACCTTTTTCCATTAAAATTAAGGAGGCGTGGCTAAATCCCCCATACTCCTTTGAAAATGGCAGCCTACAAATTCAGCCAGTGCTGCCAGCTATGTTATACTATGAGACATTTGACAAAGAGACACACACTAATAAAGGAAAATAGTATTTAGAAGGCAGACCAGCTCCCTTGTTGCACAGGAAGCAGATCATAACATAGAAAGGCAAAGAAGGATTTGAAATGTCCAGAAAGGGCACATAGGGTATGTCTAGACTACATGCTTCTTTCGAAAGAAGCCTTTTCAAAAAAAATCTTTTGAAAAAACTTTTCAAAAGAAATTGTCTAGACAGCCACAACTTTTTTCAAAAAAGCGATCCACTTTTTCAAGAGAGAGCACCCAGGCAATCTGGATGCTCTCTTTCGAAAAAGCCCTGTTTGTGGTCAAGATCGCATTTTTTTGAAAGAGCTCTTTTGAAAAAAGGCGTTCTTCCTCATAAAATGAGGCTTACCACCATTGAAAAAAAATCACCGTGTTCTTTCGATTTAATTTAGAAAGAACGCAGCAGCAGTCTAGACACAGGTGAAGTTTTTTCGAAAAAAAGGCCACTTTTTTTTTCAAAAAAAGGCCACCTGTAGTCTAGACATAGCCATAGTGTATCTTTGCATAAAAGTTGGCCAAGAGGAAACACACAGTAGTCAGATCAATATTTTACAACAACTGTAAACAAAACACTCCCTAGTGGTATTAATTTTAGAGTGCGAGCAAATTTTGTCTGTCTGTACTGATCTATTAACAAATGCATGTGATGTGATGTCAATGGCAAAGACAAAAGCGGAACACACACGCTAACTTGCATAAACTTCCACCTTGGTCTTTCATAGATCTGCATACTGGTACATTCTTCCCTTCCATCTTCGCTACTCAACAACAACTACGGATGGGTTTTCAAGGCAGCAAGACTCTGTGTTCTTTTGAGTTCAAAGTCCTCCCTGTATGTGAAGATTAAGACTGGTATCAGTTGAACTGTCATGTGACAGAGTGTACCTGGTAAACAAGGACACGTATCTACGTTGATCTTCCACTCCCACATAATTGTGTTAAAAATAGTCTCTTCGTCTGGTTTCGTCACTAATAAAGGAAGGGTTATATTGTCCAGGGTAGATGCATGAATGTCGAGATCCAGGCAAACCAGTGTAGGGAGGATAAAGTCCATTTCTTTCCAGTTCAGAGTTTCGTAGACAAGTTGGCTATAGTATAAAAAAAAAAAGAAAACAAAAGGCTCTTATTCTTAGGCCTGAGTCCTATTTCAAATGTAGCCTTAAACCCTTTTCTTTCTCCAGTCTCACATGATGAAACAAAAACATGCTTGAATTTGTTTTTTTAGTTCTTATCTGAGTTCCCTTTTATTTCAGGTATTTATTTTGTTGATGTAAATTAGCATAGCTCCATTGACTTCACTGAAGTTATATTACATGAGAATACAGGAACGGCCACACTGGATCAGACCAAAGGTCCATCTAGCCAATGGCCAGGTGCTTCAGAGGGAATGAAATGTTGATTTACATTAGCTGAGGATGTGCATCATAATTTTAAGCAATGATTGAATACAGTTATTTCAGTGGCTACAAGGAAATATGGTTTGGGCTGATCTCTCAGATCTTTCCCACCTGCTATTACGGATTGATCCTAGCTATTTTCTTGGGCTTTTTTTCTCCAGTCTAATTTTAAATATTTCAAGCAACGGGGACATGCCTAGACTTCATCTCTGATTCCATGAAGGGCTCTCTCAGAGCAGTAGAATAGCAGGACTCTTTGCAGCTCATTAATATATTGTGAACATTTATCTCTATCCTAAAGGTGTGTGCTACTTTGTTGGGCTAAATCTCAATAACCAAAGGATACAGGCCCAAACAGCTGATTAGCTCAAAACAACTACTGTTAGCCTTTGCACCTGGTAATTAAGAGGGGAGAGCATCTGGAAGCTACCCAAGTTCAGCAAACACTTTCTCAGTCACTTTGAATGCAAAGGGAGATGCTATGCCTTTGAAGAGTGCTAACACATCAGCACAGTGTGCTAGCAAATATCCTTTCTAAGGGAACCCAGAAAGATGTTGGCAGCTCCACTTTCAAAGAGAAGCTAATGCCACACGGAAGCCTCTGAAAAAAAATCCATTTGAAGACAACTCTGCTGAGTCACCATGTTAAATTATCAGGGACATCTGGATGCCAGCAGAATCTTTGGTAATGCCTACATTGTCACATCCTCTCTCTCAGGCTGTGTCTAGACTGCAAGGTTTTTTCGAAAAAACTTCACTGCGTCTAGACTACAGCCATGTTCTTTCGAAATTAAATCGAAAGAACGCAGCTTTTCTTTCGACGGCAGTACTCCTCATTTCACGAGGAAGAACGCCTTTTTTCTAAAGTGCTCTTTCGAAAAAAGGCGTTCTTGAACGTAAACAGGGCTTTTTCGAAAGAGAGCATCCAGACTGCCTGGGTGCTCTCTTTCGAAAAAGCAGCTTGCTTTTTCGAAAGTACTGCTTGTAGTCTAGACGCTCTTTTTTGAAAGAGGCTTGCAGTCTAGACATAGCCTCTGTGAGAGGTGCCACCTTAAACTTTGGCTTGATCCTGTTGGAAGACGCCTTATTACTGTACAATTCAGCTGTGCAGGTTCTGTATCATCCACCCACAAAAACTCACTTTCCTGGTTACTGGTTACAATAATGGTCTTCAAAAAATGTTTGGGAAATCTCTCAATTTGTGAGGGCAAGGACAAGGGTCAATGTCATTGCTATGGTATAGTGAAGTCCAAAAAACTTGCTCTGGGAAACCTTAAATTTACCTGCCAAAGAAAATGCAAATCAAAGTAATGCTCACGGTCCTCTTATATTTCTGGACTACATTACTGCAGAATATGGGCTTGATTCTTCAGTATTTACTCGCATGCGTAACCATATTGACTGCATTAGGCTTACTCACATGAGTAATGGTTTGTAGACTCAAACTGTGCCTGCAAGACTCCCAAAACTCTGTTCATAACCTCAGTCATTTGCTTTGTCCTTTTGTCTTACATGCCACAGGTCCACATCCCAGGTAGGAAAAGATAAAATATCTCTGGACCATCAGACAGAGGAGAAAATATAGACAGAACCAAGGGATAGATACCGAATAATATACATCCGTCATCTGCAGCAGGTTTTTAGTGCTTCCATTTTCTTGCATTTCTATGGCCTCTCTGCCCCACTCCTGTGCTCGAGGGTTCTTGGGGTATTCAGCGTATGGTGACATTTGGAAATCCCCGCTCTTAAAGATGAGTTTACTTATGTCATTTTTATTCTTCCTGTTACAAAAAAAAGTGAAAAGGCAAAACTGACCTTGCTATCTTCTTGTTATAACGTAATCTAAGAAAGCCCCATTTTTCTCCAGCGTAGCTTATCGGAATAAATTGCCCCAGTGTAAAAATGGCATCTTTCCTTGTTCATAGTTAAATGTGCACCAGTGTGAACCCTAACATGATTTCCCAAGCAGACAAGCCTAAACCTGTGACGAAGGCTGACCTGATTTAACAGTGAGGGTAATTAACCACTGGAACAGCTTACCTAGAGACAAGGTGGATTCTCTATCACATGCAATCTTTATCTAAGACTGCATGTCTTTCTAAAAGACATGGACTTTAGCCCAAAGAGAAGTATGGGCTTAATGCAGGAATTACTGGGTGAGAGTCTATGCCCTGTTGTACACAGGAGGTCAGGTCAGATGATCATAATGGTCCTGTTTGGTCTTAAAAAAATCAGTGAATTTTTGAATCTTGGTTCATGTAAGAGCCATGGGAAGTCTCAACAGTCAGGAATAGGTCAACAAAAACATGAGAATCAAGGTCCTCAAGTTTCTGTACATTTGAATAGACATCTTTTGCAGATACAGATTGAACCTCTCTAATCTAGTACCCTCGGGACCTGACCGGTGCTGAACCAGAGAATTTGCCAGACCAAAGGAGGTCAATATTGTTTAGCAGAATTGCCAACACTTCCATTGCTTAATGGGCTCTAAGAAGAAAGTCGGGGTAAATGAGAAATAAATAACAGCACAGAACACCAGGAGCCAGGATTGGTGATTGTAAATAAACTTTATGGGACCACAGGAAACTTGACCACACTGAGGATAAGTGGACATCACACTAACTAAAATCAGGCCAGACCACGGATGTTGCCAGACCAGAGAGTTCTGGATTTGAGAGGTTTAGCCTTGTGACAGGGCTAACCTGCCCTGCACTGAATTTAGAGGACACAATCTAGTGTGAAATGTGGATTTAGGGGAGATATCAAGGGATAGATTGTACTTACATGTAAGATAAAATTGTTTTCCCCTCCAGTAAACAGCCCAAGTAACTCAGCTTAGAGTTGGGAATGAGTCATTGGGATGGGCAGGTAAAGGAATCCTGCCTGCTCCAAGCCAAGAAGCAGCAAAAGAACAGCCTTGCAATGGCATCTGCAGTTAAGATGAAAGAAAGCATGTACACAGTTGGAAAAACTAGAGGATTTAGGGTAGTTCTCTCCCCCTTGCCCCATCCCCTCTCCCTGCTCAGACAGCCTGTTTATTGCCATGTAGGATGTCTCTGCAGAGCTCGATTCCATATCACATGTGAAGTGCAGACCTCTGTACAGCTGACAAGTGCTTCCTCAGTTTGGCACCACTGATTTACCCTGGCCAAGAGACTTTCTGTACCTATGGAATGGTACAACCCTTGATTTGTGCCAGGGCTGTGACAGTTCATAGCCCCAGCTTATCTGGGCTTGCTGCGTCAGTCATGAAAGTTTTTAAAAAAATGCATGAGGCCTGCTACCTAGTAGCTTGAGCCCCTCTTTCATTATAAATTAAGCACTGAAAGGGAGGCAGGATTTACCCCCATGGTTAAACAGAATTGTACTCCGTATATTTAATGTAGCACTTTACAGTGTTAATTAGGCTGTACTGCAGTTCTGTGATATACACAATTATTGATACTGTTTCTGTGGTGGACAGCAAGATTGTATCAGGGCTCACCAAGGCTATGTCTACACTTGCAGCTTCTTGCGCGAGTAATATGCAAATGAGGCTAAGCGTGGAATATCGCCGCGCCTCATTTGCATACCTAATGAGCCACCATTTTTTTCAGAAGAGGCTCTTGTGCAAGAAGGAGCATCTACACTGCCCCTTCTTGCGCAAGAAAAACCCTCTTGCGCAATGCCACTACACCTATTACTTGAGAGGAAGAACGGCGTTGCGCAAGAGGGGTTTTCTTGCGCAAGAAGGGGCAGTGTAGATGCTCCTTCTTGCACAAGAGCCTCTTCTGAAAAAAATGGTGGCTCATTAGGTATGCAAATGAGGCGCGGCGATATTCCACGCTTAGCCTCATTTGCATATTACTCGCGCAAGAAGCTGCAAGTGTAGACATAGCCTTGGTGAGCCCTGATACAATCTTGCTGTCCACCACAGAAACAGTATCAATAATTGTGTATATCACAGAACTGCAGTACAGCCTAATTAACACTGTAAAGTGCTACATTAAATATACGGAGTACAATTCTGTTTAACCATGGGGGTAAATCCTGCCTCCCTTTCAGTGCTTAATTTATAATGAAAGAGGGGCTCAAGCTACTAGGTAGCAGGCCTCATGCATTTTTTTAAAAACTTTCATGACTGACGCAGCAAGCCCAGATAAGCTGGGGCTATGAACTGTCACAGCCCTGGCACAAATCAAGGGTTGTACCATTCCATAGGTACAGAAAGTCTCTTGGCCAGGGTAAATCAGTGGTGCCAAACTGAGGAAGCACTTGTCAGCTGTACAGAGGTCTGCACTTCACATGTGATATGGAATCGAGCTCTGCAGAGACATCCTACATGGCAATAAACAGGCTGTCTGAGCAGGGAGAGGGGATGGGGCAAGGGGGAGAGAACTACCCTAAATCCTCTAGTTTTTCCAACTGTGTACATGCTTTCTTTCATCTTAACTGCAGATGCCATTGCAAGGCTGTTCTTTTGCTGCTTCTTGGCTTGGAGCAGGCAGGATTCCTTTACCTGCCCATCCCAATGACTCATTCCCAACTCTAAGCTGAGTTACTTGGGCTGTTTACTGGAGGGGAAAACAATTTTATCTTACATGTAAGTACAATCTATCCCTTGATATCTCCCCTAAATCCACATTTCACACTAGATTGTGTCCTCTAAATCCACATTTCACACTAGATTGTGTCCTCTGCCTGAAGCATTAAGTCCTGTGCCATCCACTATCTTCAGACCACTACCTGATTTATGATACCTACCGGCAGCAAGTAATGATCAGTGCTATCCCCAGGATAAGCAGAAGTCCCCCTCCTGCAGCTGCAATCACCACGGTGATTAGCTGATACGCTAAACACAAAAAAACACAGGAGACCTCACTCACTTAGAAATGGTAACATGCTTATACATATTTAAGTAAGTGTTCCGCGACATAGCTACCTAGCTATCCATCATGCAGAAGGATTTGGAATTTTCTTTTCTTATCCAATAACAATTGAATAGGACATTAAATTATATCAAGTAGATTTACGTGGAGTTGGGGAGTTTTGGAGGATAGAGTAGAAAAATAGAACTATTAGACATGGAAAAACAGGCCCCCTCTTTGGGGCAGTTTGTACTTATGAACATACGAGAGGCATGCAATAAAAAGTATGCCAATTCACTTCAGGAGATCACATGTAAGCAGCAGCAATCAGCTCATGACTGACTGTATTTTGCATCTTCTGCTGTAGTATGGGTCCCTTGCAGTTTTAAAGTAGGGAAATGGTGAGTTCCCTATAGCTTGAAGTCTTTAAACCAGGATTTGAGGACTTCAATGACAGTAACTCAGTCAGAGGGTAGGAGTGACAGGAGTAACAGGTGGGTGAGGTTCTGTGGCCTGCAACGTTCAGGAGGTCAGAACAGGCATCAAAATGATCCCTTCTCACCTTAAAGTCTACGAATCAATCTGTGGGTATAGAAGGCCTCCAAGGAGTCATAATGTTAATTAGAGCTGGTCAAAAAACCGTTGGAACACTCTTCCCTTGGAAAATTCAGTTTGATCACAAATGAAACTTTTTTCAGGAAGAAGATCTCAACAAAAGGTTGAATGTTAAAATTTTGAAATTATTTGTTACAATTTTCTTGTTTCATGTTGCTTTGACATCTATATTATTAATGTTTTGATCTGATTACATGAAACTACAAGGTGCTTTCAAATCAAATGATTTTTTAATTTCTGTTCTGAGAAAAATTTTGAAATGTCAACATTTTGTCCCGATTTGGGACTTCCTCCACCCACATTTTTGGAATTTTCTGACTAGCTTTAATGTTGAGCTAATGCCCACAGCTGTTTCAGCAATAAGATTCACTATACCAACTTTCTAGCCTAGGGTAAGAGCTCCATTTCATAAAAAGGATAGGGATTTTTCATTAGTGATGCTGGTAATGATGATCCAGAGAAAATTAGAAGAGCAATGCATTCTGATTACAGCCCAGGCCAAAAACATAACAGAAACAGAGACCTATTTGTGCCCCAACAAAAAATAATTTGAAAGGACAAGAAGTTCTGTACTTACGGTTTCTACAGTTGAATCCCCCTAAGCCAAATGGGCACCTGTAACAGGAAAGAACTATGAGTTTTAAACATCTGATCCTTAGTTGTGGCAACATGTTACCAAAGCAGTATTGGGGGGGGGGGGGGGGGAGAGGAGGGGGAGAGAGGTTAGGTTAAGAAACAGAGCTCACTGTACCTCACACAGGTCTCATTTTCAAGCTTGTATCCATCTTCACAAGCTAGAAAATTAAAGAGAAAGGGGATGAGCACCCCTCAGTAGTGAACTATAAGCAGGTGTATAGTCACTATTTCTACTGCTGTAGCTAGAAGCTCTAATCTACATCCATTAGCAAAGCACATGAAAACACCATGCATTTCCCAAACAAAGAACTTCTTTAACTTTTAAAATTAGTTACAGTTGCAAAAAAAAAAAAAAAAACCCTCCCCCCAAAACAAAACAAAACACTGCCCCTTGAAGAGCCAGGTGTGGCCCAACCAGGCTTCTGTCAGCTGCAGTGTCAGATCTCGCTAAACCAAGCGGCACCCTGCATGACAAGGAAAAAAGATCAGAGCAGGGGACTGTGAGAAGAGCCGCAGGTGCGGGAGCCACAGTTTTTCCTTTGAAGAGCCACATGTGGCTCGCCAGCCACGGGATGGCCACCCCTGCATTCATCATAGATTCACAGAAGATTAGAATGAGAAAGGACTTCAGCCAACCATCCAAAACAGCATCCTTTTCACTGAGAGCAGGACTTCTGGCATGTCTACACTGAAAGTGCTGCATCGGCACAGCTGCACTGGTGCAAATGCGCTGCTGTAGTGCTTTAATGAAAATGCTCTAAGCCAATGGGAGAGCACTCTCCTGTCAGCTTAGTTAATCCACCTCCACAAGAAGCAGAAGCAATGTTGGTGGGAGAAACTCTCCCACCAACAAAGCGCTGTCTACAGGGAGGGTTAGGTTGGTGTAAGTATGTGACTCAGCGGTGTGGATTCTTCACAGCTGTGAGCAATGTAGTTATATGATATGCCTCCTTAGTGTAGACCAGACCTAAGTCATAATTAGACCAAACTTGACAGGATGATGGGAATGGACAGGAGAGGCTGGATCACTTGTTCATTACTTGTTTTGTTCATTCCCTCTGAAGCACTCCCTTTGTCAGAAGACAGGAGACTGGGTGAGATGAACCTTTGGTCTGACCCAGTATGGTTGTTCTTATGTTCAGCTAATTCCCTGTACTCTTTGGGGTGGTGGTGGGGAGCTGCATCTACACTGCACAGCAATAGATCTTAGATCCTACGTCCCAGCTTAACTTGAGTTTGGAGCCTCCAGCTCTGCAAGGTCCTGGGAGCCTGCCTTTGAGCCCTGGGTTAGTGCAGTTGCAGTATAGATGCAAGGGGGAGTTAGCTTGGAACTAGGGAACCAGGATGGGCTTATATTGCAGTGTAGATACACCCCTGGAACATACAGAGCGTGAGAAGAAAAGACAGGGAAAAGAGCTGAGATGCTGCCAACACACGCACAAGCTGCAATCAAAACAAAGCCTAAATGTCAAGGAGCTGGGCCTGTTAATATATAACCTTAGACAGTGCTGGGGGGGAAGGAATCCAGGAGCCACTGCTCCCAGTGCGAGGTGAGGAATGCAACATACGACAAAGAAGAGGTCAATATTCACTGCCATGTATAGCAGAATAGCAGCACAGACTCTCATTAACAGCCTGATCCTTTAAAGGCCCCCTATCAAGGAAGCTAAGTACAATGGTCCTGACCCATGAATGAGGCTCCTAGGTGCTACAACAATAGACAATAATAGGAACTCAGTGACCAGATCACACCCTCCAATTGCTATCAGTTTGGCCCTTGGTTGACTTTATGCACAAAACTAGCCTTGTCTTAGGGCAGTGTCTGTTTGCAGCGCCCTCTGGTGACAGGCCAAGGCATAACAAGCACTCCTCCCTCAGTTTCCCTCCTTCAGATTCCCAAACAGTTTTTCTGCATACCCCTTCTGGGGTTCATTTATTTAAAAAGTCTCATGCATCTAACCCATAACAAGTCCCAATCAAGTCCCACAACCACAGTCCAGAGTGTACATTGAATAGAGCCCAAGTGTTATTTTACCGTTGCTCTGCTACAGCACCACCATTCCTTGCCAGACCCCTGCCCTGTATGGCTCCAGCATCCCTCACGACACCTCATTCCCAGCCTTTTGGCCCTCTGGCTTCAGCTCTCCAGCTGTGAGAGCCAGCAGGTATCTTCCCTCAGTTGCCCTGAGCCTTCATTTCTCTCCAGCCTTCTCTAGCCATGGCTTTCTGGCTCAGGAAGGCTGCCCGATTAACCCCTCCACTGGCTCTCTAGCCCTCAGCTCTTTTCAGCCTTCTGGCCCTGGCTTCAGCTCTTGCAAAGTCAGCAGGCTAGCTCCTTCATGGGCTTGCTGATAATTTCTCCTTCTCTCCAAGGAGGGCCTGCAGACAGCTCTGTTGTTTTTCCCAAAGACCTCCTCCAGTCTCTGTCCCTCTCTCACTAGGCCTCTGTGACCCTTTATAGCACCCATGTGCTGCTCTGCCCTCTTAATTGGCCAAATGGGAGCACCTGTCCTGGCACTGGGGTGCTGGACTTACTTCATTGTTACCCCTCCCCCCACCTTCAATGGGACCACCTGAGTGCTTAAATGCATTGCTGGATTGGCACCTCAGACCATAATTTGAGACGGTACACATTTTTTTATGGAACATGTTATATGTTTTATGGATTTTCACTGAAATCAAAACTTTCTGTGGGAACATGTCAATTTCAATGACATCTTGTTTTTAAAATATTGGAAATGAAGCTTTTTATTGTAAAAAGAGTTTTTGAAGTGTCTATATATTTTCCAAAGTCAGAAGCAGAACCATTTTTTGATTCTATCAAAGCAGAGCATTTCAACGAGTCCAAATGTATCATTTTCTTGTGCTCTGACATTACACTGGCCCACCGTGATATGATCGATCTAATCACACAGCTTTGGCCTCTTGTGCAGATGTTAAACCTCTGGGCCCACACTTTGTAATTAGGATTTCCACCTTAAAGCAGAATAGAAAGCATGTGAAATCTGTAATAAGACTCCAAGCTATGCTTTAGGAAAAGTCTACATATTGTTAAACACTGCTGACTAATGAAGGCTACTGTCAAACCACAGCAAAACAACTGACAAAACTTTTGTCTCCTAGCTCTGTGATTTTTGTATGCTGTTTGCAACCTATGGAATGCCTTTAAAGTTCTTGTATAACCAGATGATTATAACTCTGTTCACCAAGCTGTCTCTCTGTATCCAGATAGCTGACAAGGAAAAAAATGAAATGATGTGACATTAATTGGTACCCATTTAAGATGTGTTGGCAACATCATCACAGTACACCAGGAGAATTCTGTAGCAGAGGGGTCCCCTAACACTAATAGTAATTGAAAGTTTCATCAATTTAAAGGCCAGAAGAGACCACTGTGATCATCTTTTCTGGCTTCCTGCATAGCACAGGCTATAAGAGTTCCCTGAATTAATTTCTATTTCCAATCCAATGGTTGTAGTTTTACTAGAAGACACCTCCAATCTTGATTTTAAAATTTTCAATGATGGAGACTCCACTACAACCACTGGAAAATATTTCCAATAGTTACTTACGCTGACTGTTCAAAATTGTGTTACTCATTAAAGGTCATTTTAATCTAAAATGCATTTAATTCAATTTTTATCTAAATTTGTTTAGTTGCAATTTTCAGCAATTGACTTTTGTTATATTTTGTCTGCTAAAATGAAGATCCCCCTCCAGAGTCACTGATGGGTTGAAGAAAAAAGGGGCAGTTGGAATGAAAAGTATTTCATCCCGTGATATGAATACATTATTTGATTTTCCCTAGAATAGAGCTATTTACTGAACACCCCAGCCTTTTCTGCTCAACAGTTCTATCATTTCTATCTAATAATGGTCCAATTCCACTATTAGGGCTTCATAATTCCTGAAATACTTAAACTGCCTCCTATTGTACTTAGCTCTCTGGCCTTAGATTTCTCCTTGCATCCTTTTCCTTCCTTTACCAATTATTTTCGTTGCTATCAACTTTCCATTTTTTCCATTTGCTATTTATATTATTTGTAATGCTGCTTCCATTTTCCTTTTATGCTGCTCTGGTTTTTTTAAACCATTTTTCATTATCTCGCAACTGTAATTTTTTGGATATTTAGTTGCCAATCATCATTCTCCACAAACCTGGAAATCCCGGACGCCCCATCATCTCGGGCATTGGCACTCTTACTGAAGGACTGTCTGGCTATGTGGACTCTCTGCTCAGACCCTACGCCACCAGCACTCCCAGTTACCTTCGTGACACTACGGATTTCCTGAGAAAACTACAATGCATAGGTGATCTTCCAGAAAACACCATCCTAGCCACCATGGATGTAGAGGCTCTCTACACAAACATCCCACATGCAGATGGAGTACAAGCTGTCAGGAACAGTATTCCTGATGATGCCACAGCACAACTGGTGGCTGAACTCTGTGAATTTATCCTCACACACAACTATTTCAGATTTGGTGACAACATATACCTCCAGACCAGTGGCACTGCTATGGGCACCCGCATGGCCCCACAATACGCCAACATTTTTATGGCTGACCTGGAACAACGCTTCCTCAGCTCTCGTCCACTTACACCCCTTCTCTACCTACGCTACATCGATGACATCTTCATCATCTGGACCCATGGGAAGGAGACTCTGGAAGAATTTCACCATGATTTCAACAGCTTCCACCCCACCATCAACCTCAGCATGGACCAATCTACACGGGAGGTCCATTTCCTGGACACCACGATACAAATAAGTGACGGTCATATCAATACCACCCTATACAGAAAACCTACCGACCGCTATACTTACCTGCATGCCTCCAGTTTCCATCCCGGACACACCACACGATCCATTGTTTACAGCCAAGCACTGAGGTACAACCGCATATGCTCCAACCCCTCAGACAGAGACCTACACCTACAAGACCTTCAACAAGCATTCTGTAAACTGCGATACCCACACGAGGAAGTGAGGAGACAGATTGACAGAGCCAGACGTGTACCCAGAAGCCTCCTGCTACGGGACAAGCCCAAGAAAGAAACCAACAGAACACCACTGGCCATCACCTATAGTCCCCAGCTAAAACCTCTCCAACGCATCATTAGTGATCTTCAGCCCATCCTGGACAATGATCCCTCGCTCTCACAGGCCTTGGGAGGTAGGCCGGTCCTTGCCCACAGACAACCCGCCAACCTGAAGCATATTCTCACCAGCAACTACACACCGCACCATAATAACTCGAACTCAGGAACCAATCCTTGCAACAAACCTCGGTGCCAACTCTGCCCACATATATACACCAGCAACACCATCACAGGACCTAACCAGATCAGCCATACTGTCACTGGTACATTCTCCTGCACATCCACCAACGTAATATATGCCATCATGTGCCAACAATGCCCCACTGCTATATACATCGGCCAAACAGGACAGTCCCTACGTCAAAGAATCAATGGACACAAATCTGATATTAGGAATGGCAACATACAAAAACCTGTAGGGGAACACTTCAATCTTCCTGGACACACTATTGCAGATCTAAAAGTCGCCATCCTGCAGCAAAAAAACTTCAGGACCAGACTTCAAAGAGAAACTGCTGAGCTACAGTTCATCTTTAAGTTTGACACAATCAACTCTGGATTAAACAAAGACTGTGAATGGCTTGCTAACTACAAAAGCAGCTTCTATTCTCTTGGAATTCACACCTCCAGATCAGCTGCTAGAAGTGGGCCTCATCCTCCTTGATTGGATCCACCTGGTCATCTCCAGCCTGATCCTGGCCTGCATATTTATTCCTGCCTCTGGAAATTTCCACTACATGCATCTGACGAAGTGGGTCTTTGCCCACGAAAGCTTATGCTCCTACACTTCAGTTAGTCTATAAGGTGCCACAGGACTCCTCGTCCCATTCATAATTAAGTCAGTCCATCCAATTCTTTATATTAGATTTATTATTTTTATAAAATCAAGGAAGAGTCCTCAAGTAGGAGGACAAGTGATAAGTGTCTCAGTTAACCAGATACCTAGGCATCATGCAGGTAAATACAAAATTATATGTGTACATCTGACTTGTAACAATAGTGAGGAGTCAGCAGAAGAGCAGAGATTGAGCGATTTGTTCATACGGAACTAGATTTGTTCATACGGAACCCTATGTTGGGGGAACCCTATCTCCCAAGCTATGCGCCACAAAGGTGATTGCAACCTAATGATTAGCATAGCTTACACAGCCTTAGCACTCTTCTGCTACTTGGGGAGTGGGGAAGTAATGGCCGATTTTGTGGTCCAACCTGATGCCAGTCCTGATGCAGTTAGTGCACCCACCAACTTTGTGCAAAAAAAATTATCCAGGTACATTGATAGGAAAACTATCATGTAGAGGGCAGGAACAGGTCCTGAATGCACCATTTCTGTGCTCCTAGGGTTCTTTAAATGTAATGCAGAGCTGCAGAACTTTGCTTCTATTTCCCTTTCGCTACCATTTGCTCTCCCTTTCCTGCTATGCTGCTTCCCTCCCACACCTTTCCCCAGTTCCTTTGAATGTGCTTCGGAGAGAGCTCACCCTGACACTCCCCTCTCCGTGCTTTTAACTATTACTGGCTATTCTGAAATCTAAACATGGTTTTCTTTGGAGAAGGTGGCGGGGATAAGGGGGACAAACCAAGCCACAAACCTTGGAATTGGACCTTCACCTGACTGGGGCCGCCCACCAAATACAGAAGTCAAACAATGCCTATGCTACGAATCTCACATGGTGGAAAGGGGGGGCTATTACAAACTACAGAGACCTGCAGCCAAACAGAATTTTCAACTCCAGTCCTCTTGACTTTTCACTCAGGATTTCTTTTTGTCCAGGTTGAGCTCCCTCACCCACTAAACGCCTGCGGGTCCTTGGATGGGAGGAAGGGCTCAGAACTTTCTCTCTGCTCACACAGGGGTCCTCAATTTTACTGAGAAAAATGCAACCTGTAGAAGCCAACACGGCGTGCCTGTAGTGGCATTTTTTTCATCCACCCTGCAGGTTTGCAGTCCAGTAAAGGATGGGGACAGGGCTACCTGGAGATGAATGGAAGTACGTTCAAATTATATTTAGGCTGAGATTTTCAAGCTCTTTTAGGCACCTTTGAAATCCGCACCTTAAACCTCACTATACTAGATGTTTGTGGAGCCGGGATTACCATTGTGGTCCAGGCAGCAGATTTCCCACAAGTGTGCGTTAGCTTTTTGTCAGGAAGCTGGAGGTTTACTGCTGACCATTCACCAGGCCTTTTTTGCTCACCAAGTCACACCCACCTTCCTGTAAGGATTCCAGGTGACACCGCACAATAGGCACTTCCCACAGGAAGAGACAAACACTGTAATTAGAATTACCACTAGTGAGCACTGAACATGCTACAGGCTACATTTTCAGCACCCACACTCAGGGCCAGTTTTTCAGACCCCTCAGTCCCTTTCCTATGCACCAGTGGAAGGGGCTTGTTTCTAAGAGCTCAGCACCTTGTGTCTGGCACTCTTCGAGGAGAAAAAAAATGGCAAAATGTAAATGTCAAATTGGGAGCTGCTGGCTGCTGAGTCCTTTTGAAAGTGTGGATCATACAACCGGGACTAATTGGTAACACAGCTGTGTCACAAATCTGGCCCCCACTACTGAGCACTTGAAAATCCAGGCTCAAATCAAGACCTCTTTTTAAAGATCTTGCCCCACTCTCACTTCAGGCAGGTCACTACAGAAGATGGCACCCCATTCTGCCTCCAGCTCTTGACACATGGAGGTAAAGTTCCCCTCAGCACAGTGCTATGTTAAAGGCCAACTGCCCTAATGCAAATTTCACCTGCGCCATTTGCAAGCTCATGGAGATGTCTAAAATGTGTGGCACCTGACTGTCCTGCTCATTTTATCATAGCCAAGGTGATGGAGCATCTGGTATTGCTCTGCTGAGAGTCCCTTGACCAATAAAGTAACCTATTTATATTACAGATGGAATGAGAACAGAATGATCCCATCCCATCTGAGGTACTTATAAAGCCCCCATTACCATACTATTTGAGCACAGATAGGGGAGAGAGAGGTTTCATTACCCCCATTTTGCAGGTGGGAAGCTGAGGCACAGGGAGATGAAGTGCCTTGACCAAGGTCATACAGGAAGCCTCTGGCGGAGCAAGAAACTAAACTTAGCTCTCCCAAGGCCCAGCCTAACACCTTAACCACTGGACCATCCTTATTGTCTCTCACTCTCTCACTCACTCACTCACACTCACACACGAGCAAGCTCTTCATCATCTCTGACATCTACCTTCCTCTATTCTCAGAAGAAGAAAAGGAACGCTATTTTCTCTGACAGGAACCTATTGAAATAAAAACTAGATGTTAATTTCTGTGGGTTTCACACATCCCATCTCCTCCCCTTTGTTCCTGTCAGATGCCAATGCTGCTGCTGATCTTGATCCCATTCCAGGTACCAGAGCTAAGCAGGGAAACAGTATCACACATTCTTCAGCGAAGGCAGATTAGAGGGTTTTAAGCTTACCTCAAAGCCACTGCAGACTTGATTAGAATTGTTTAGTGTGATTTGATACAGTGTTTTTATTGTGCTGTCGACAAGAACCTAGCCAGCTAAGGATGGCAAGATTAAGCACTATCTGGGAACAGTCAACGTATCTTAACAAAAATACCCCCTACACACATGCACCCACTCACACACATGTATACACTCACAAAGGGTTCATTTGTATTACAAGAGCACTTGTAGATCCCCACTGAGATTGGGGCTTTTTGTGCTACGCGTTGCATACAAATATTACAAGAGCTATACTGGTCTCTAAGGCCAGGTCTACAATGGACCTGGAAGGTCAGCTTAAGGTACATAACTTCAGTTATGCGAAATGTGTAGGTGGAGTTGGCTTGCCTTAAGCCAAGTTGTGGCAGCCTCCACACTGCAGGAGGCCGACAAGAACAAATGCTCCCGTCAGTGTCCCTTACTCCGCACAAAAGAAGGAGTACCGGATGACAGAGGGAGCTGCCCTTGGTGTTCGATGGGTCTATACTAGACCAGCTAAATTGAACACCAGCAGGTTGACCTCCAGAGCATCAATCTTCTGATAAATACAGACAAGCCCTAAGAGCTTGCAAACAAAGGCTGTGCCAGGAAACAGAGGCACAGTCAGAATGGCTGAGCCAGGGTTGGACCCTAGGACTCCTGGGTCCCCATCCAAGGCTCCCAAAGATCTCCTACAGATTGTCCCTGCTTCGTGCCTCGGTTTCCCCTCCTGTCCTTTTCCTCTTCAGACTGTGAGCTCTTTGGAGCAGGGACACTCTTCCCACACATTTATACAGCATCTAGCAAGTTGCAGTCACTGTCAGAAACAAAGAGTGCACTATAACCCTCAAAATCAGGGCCAGCGGGCTCCCTCAACCTATGCATATTTAGTTTGACCACTGCCAGAGCAAAACAGGCCACAGTTTATTTAAAATCCGGTGAAACGGCTCTGTTAGGAGAAATTTGCTCTTGTATTTAAATATCCATTATGATCCTTTTTATGATAAAATAAATGTCCACTCCCTCTCAGCTACTCAGTCATTTCAAAATACTAAGGATACATAAATACAGCTTGTGAATTTAAAACAATTATCTTTACTTCCTCTGGAGTGCAGACAAAGGGGAAACACAAATAAGTGTGCTATGTTATTGATGCACTACGCCACTGAACTTTTGCCTCAGACATTCCAACCCCTCGTCTCTTTTACGCTGGATCTTTTGGACTTGCTCAGCATGCTCCAGAAAGTGATAATATTATGATTCCTGTAGTGAGAGGGAATATCTTCTACTTCTACTGTAAAGCCCCATATCCAAAAAGAAGAAATCTAAGCTGTTACTATTTATTCATAGCTCCGAGCTGCTTAGCAAGCAAAGAAATACAAAAAACACAAGTGTGAAAATCATTTCAACAGGAAACATCATATTAAGCAAGCACCAAAGCAAATCTGGCTGTGAAAAGAACCACACCTCTGCAGGAATGATCCATCTTGTTGTATTTAAAGTAGCCACTCTTGCACTGGCAGACTGCAATGCCATCCGAGTCGGAACATTCTGAAGTTTCTCTGTCGCATTCAGGGTCCTTCTGTTTACACAAGCCATCAACTACCATAAAGACATCAACAATATCAGCACATCCTTGTAAATACACGGTTATGCGTGCTGATCGGCAGCTTTCCCCATATATCACACTGGGCCAGGTAATATTTTCTCTGTTTTCTTTAATAATATTTGTTCCCTTTTGAGATAAAACCACACACAGGACCTGATGCTGCAGTCCCTCCAGCAGAAATTGGCCCAAACACATAGGGATGGGTAGGAACCAAAACCAGGATCTGAATTCTATAGCTGTCCATATTTTTGAGTACTGTTCAATCACATGACACATATAAACACCACGCACATACAAACACCACAAACACTGATCGGCCAATACATATAAAACAGAACTCTTTTTTGCCATGTGATTGTATAGTACGCAACACAATGGGGTTCTGGTATTAAGTTTGTGGTTCCAAGCCACCACCACAATGCAAACAACAAAGAATAATGTAATGGGCATGAACTGAAATCCTGCATCTAACCCGTCCCAGCTTTGGCGATCTGATAACCTGGATGAGATTTTTGCCCATATCTACACTAAATATATAATTTACTTACTATGAGGGTCAATATTTGAACACAGATATTAGCAGAGCCCTACAAATCTCTGGCTATCCACTTCATATCTGTGGATATTCACAACTCATATGAATGCGGATACAAATTTTGTATTGAGAACCCTGCACATTTGCAGATATCCATGGATATTTGCATCCCCGCTGGAATCTGGCATCAAGAAAAACCCAACCTCCAGAATGTAGAGGTTAACTATAGCAGCCAATAAATGCTCAAATCAAATTGGCTGGAAGGTCTTGTCTCACTATAAACCTCACTAGCTGTCACCTTACCCCTTTTTAGCAGCATAAGCCCTGCACTGGGATAATTTTGATTGGTTCAAACCATGTGATTAGAATAAGTCTCCTGTTTTTTAATCTGGATTGAGTTCAATGTTGTACCCTAAAGATGAAAGGACCATGCACAGTGATTGTAATTCTGTGCTGCGTAATGTCTTTTGCCCATGTAATGTTTCCACAAAGAGGTAGATTTCTCACACATGGGTGTAAGATAAAATTTAAAATTCAGAATCTTGTTTTGGTGAGGGGGCTTTAAGATGACTTCCAACTAAATGAGATAAACATTTGAAAGACTTTTCAGAAAGCTACAGTCACTTTAAGAATAAACAAACAAAATGCGGATTACTTTTCACATTGGTTACGATCAATCCAGACGTTATTTACCTCGGTGGAGCAGCATAAAGCAGGTTTCAGCAGCAGTTTTGCAAGCTCTAATGTAGCTTTTTACACTGCTCACAATGATAGCGAATGTCGCATTGGATATCAAAGAGAAGGTAGCTTGAACTGAAACTCGGACAGAATTGGACTCCCTGCCAAAAATATACCTATGCATCATTGTTTTGCATTTTATTTCACTGATTGCTCTTATTAATACCAGTAATACATAGATTGCACACAACATTCTCTACGTATATTGAACAGACTGTCCAAACATTAGCAGTCCCCATAACAACCCTGCCCTATATTATCCCCACTTTACAGATAGGACAAATACATACATTTAAACCTAATTCTGTCTCAGGTGGGATTCAAATAATTCATAACAAAGCCAATGAAAGAAGATACTCATATTTTTCAGGGGCAAATTTAGGCCTTTAATATTAATGACTTGATTTTGAAAACAGGTGTCACTGACTTCACTGGGAACTGGGGTCAGCATTTGTGCAAATCAGGCGGTAAGTGACTTGGCCAAGGCCACAAAGCAAGTCAGTAGCAGAGCACTGAAGTGTTCTTTGCTCCCAGTTCCAACATTGCATCTATTTTATCAGCTGTAAAGTTTGAATCCAGAGGTGAACTTCCCCAAAGTTTTGAGGCTGTTCAGATCAAGGAGGCTGGCTTTCCCCTATCCCCAGCAAAAACATTTATTATATGCCTTACCTTATAGCTTTAACTTCTGAGTTGTAATAGCCAGGTAGCGTTGAAAGAGACATGTTCAGCTGCAGGAAAGAATGGCCATTCTATTAAACAGGATTCTTTTAACCTTTGCAACAGCCTGTTGTTTCAGCAAGACAGAGAGGCCTTTGTCTTGTCAGCACAGGAAGAATGAAGTTACCATTGTGCAGCTTTGGACATGAGCAAAGTCTTATGGTTTATAAAAATGAGCATCTGTCCGGAGCCTGCTGTGCAGTAAGCACAAAGGGGAAAGATCATCCAGCGAAGCAATGGGGAAAGAGGCCTGCAGAAGGCTGTATTCAGAACAGTGCTCATCTTCAAAGGTGCCTCCCCCTGAATGCCATACGCAAGGAAAGAGCCTCATAATCAGTCATTTATTTTCATTTCTCATGAGTCTGTTTAATCAATATCATGGTGAGTGAAATTCCATCTTCCTGCTGCTTTGGCTGTGTCACCAGACAAGCCTTTTTGCTTGGTTAAGAAGCACAGGGAACTGCTGTGACCTTAGTCTGCTCAAAAGCTGACCTAACTCGTGCAAAGATAAATACGAATAGACGGTAGGCAAGAGAACTATCCCTGGTATTATGACTGGAGGACTCCACTATGAGCTAGGAGTGTGATTTCCCTGCTTGCACACACAAACTCACAGTAGCTTGTATTGAACTATGCATGTTTTAATACCTGGGTAGCCACGGTAAGAGTCGCGGAGGCATGGTTTGGCTGTGTCGAGAATAAACCCACCGGAAACTGGTGGGGACATGTCTGGCACAGCTATGCCATGCCACTGCTGCCCAAGCTCCCACAGCTAAACTCCTAGTGACATTTGTGCTAGCTTGACGAGAGTCGTGGAGAACATGCATGGAAGCAGGGGGAATTGCAAACCAAACTCATCGCGTAGTCATAGCCACGGTTATTTTTCCATGCAACATCAGCACCAGGTTGGAATTTATGGTGAAACTATGGGAACCCAGCATTACTGGCCCTGCTTTTATTGGTTTGCTTCAGAACCTGCAAAAAAAGCTCTTCAGAACCTTGAAATTGGAAACGGCAATATATCAACAAACCACGAGGGGGCGGGCACTTAATGCTAGCCAATAGGCATTCAAAGCCTAGTCAGAATAAACTTCATCAGCTTTGTGCACTTTCTACATTACATGGTCATCTGTGTCACTATACTACCTCTGTTTACCTCGCTCAGCCTCCTTGAATCGGGGCCTCTCCATTGAGATTTTAATGTATTGCAGACTGAACTAAGATTTAAAAAATACACAGGTCTTTGAATATACATATCAGCCTAAACACCCATCCTTAGCTCCTGCCTAGGCAAGTCAATCTTCAAGCCAAGGAAGAAAAACAGGAGCTAATGATTCAAGTTCCACACCTAATACCGCCCATCCATGGGCATGAAGGAAGAGCTGAGGTGACCCTTTCTTGTTCCATCTCTCACTGGTGGAACTTGGCTCTCCAGGTGGGTAAACCACAACGGTTCCTTAGGTGGGAAACTTAGATTGGAACAGCATGAACACCAGCCAGTATTTTTCAGCTACATGCAGATTATCCAATGTTACCCCTATGTGAGCTGTTCTGTGAATGCAGCTTTCTTATCATTTATTTGTATTGCCACAGCAACCAGGAGCTCCGGACATAGACGAGAGGACACCACTGAGCGAGGTGCCACACAAACAGAATGGAAAGACAAATCTTGCCCCAAGGAGCAGATTCATTTTTTCTTCCCACACAAACACAAATTCTGGTGTGAAGCACTGGAATCACAACAGAATCATAGAATTGTAGCAATGGAAGGAACCACAAGAGGTCTTCTAAGTTCAGGACCCTGCAGTCATGGCAGGACGAAGCACCATTTAGACCATCTCTGACAGGTGTTTGTCTAACTTTCTCTTAAAAGTCTCCAACAATGGAAATTCCACAACCTCCCTAGGCAATTTATTGCAGCACTTAACTACCCTGACAGTTAGGGCTTGTCTACACTGGCAAGTTACTGCTCTGTAAGGGTATGTCTACACAGCAGGGCTAAAGTCGAATTAAGCTATGTAACTTCAGGTATGTCAATTATGTAGCTGAAGTTGAAATAGCTTAACTCAGCTTTTGGCGTGGTCTACACAGCAGGAAGTCGAAGAAAAAACACTCTTCCTTTGACTTCCCTTACTCCTCATAAAATGAGGGTTACAGGAGTCGGAGTAACAAGTCCTCCAACTTGACTTTATTTCAAAATAAAGGCTTGTAGTGTAGACATGCTCTTTGTTATTTCAGAATAACATCAGTTATTCCAAAATAACGCTGCTAGGTAGACATACCCTACCTTTCTTGCTCAGAGATGTGAAAAACACACACACACACAAACCAGCAAGTTACAGAGCTGCTAAGTACCAGTGTAAAGAGGCTGCCAGTGCTGTTAGCTTCTCCCCTCATAGAGATGGTTTACCTAGAGCGCTGGGAGAGCTCTCTCTCAGAGCTGGTGATGTGACCACACTGCCATGTTAAAGTCTTACGTAAGTTACAATGTTCCAGAGAAGACACTTACCATTGTTATTATTTCATCTTCAATTACACGGAGTTCAGAATACTTCCCATGAGTCGTGTTCAGTTTCAATAGAAGTTCACCAACAAATGTTTTTACTAAAATTAAAAACAAAGCCTGTTAGCTACAATGCATGCAGCTTTGATACCCCAAGCCAATGTTCCTTCTCATCTTTTCCATCCATGTGCAATTTTTTTCCATCCATGTGCAGAATAAACTTTCTGTGCACATAGGCATGTGTGAATGTGCTCCGCCAGCAGCAACACAAAACCTAACTGTGGGTGCTCTACTAGTCAGCTGGGTGACATTTGAATTTCTACTATGTGACTGCACAAGCACACAGCTTACAAGGAATGCTGCCTCGACTGACATCTTACCATGTCTCATGAGCTAGACAGGGTTTAGCTTGGTTCGAAACTACAAGTGCCATAGCAGTGGGAAACCTATGAATGAGTTTACCACTAATAAAGCAAAGATCCCATGGGATTCTTCACAAGAAGTGGTATGTTAGCCCATGTCCTAGCTAGGGATGTAAGCGACTAGTCAACAAGTGATGTGACTAGTCGTCGTTCCCGACCCCTTGGTGCCTCTTTCCATACCATCTCTGTGGGGAGCAGGGGAGGTAGAGGCACAGTGGAAATGGCGCAAGCAGTGACTGAAGCAGTGTCTGTTTGTGCCGCTTCTGCTGCGATTCTGCTTTTGAAATGTACAAGTGCCTGAGCTTCCTGCAGGCCTTCCCTTCGAAATGTGGCTCTTGCTACAGTTCAAAGGTGGCGGTGCCCTTATGGACTAATAGAACAGTTGATGGAAATCCCATCGACTACTATTCGATTAGTTAATTAATCTAAATTAACATCCCTAGTCCTAGCTAAATCTTAGCTCAGATAGTTATATGTATCTAATTGAATACTCCTGTAGCTTAAATTGAAGAGAGAATTGGTTTTTGTCTTTTATTTCCTACCCTAACCTGCTCTGCAATGGTACTACTTGCTGTTAATCAGTCTGCATTCAACCATAGAGTAACTGGATTTCGCTGCTAGGTGCAATAATTCTTGTCCTACATAATCTTGGTCTATCATTTATCAAAACCTTCAGAGTAGCCATATAAATGTCCTAATAGAGACAGAGAGATTATCTGCCTCCCCACCACATGCCTCTACCAAATCTTTTTTTTTTAAATATTTTGCTCATTCCATTTCTAATCTTCCATTTTTTGCATTATGTATTTTGACCTTCCTGGTTTTCCCTTTTTTATTATTATTATTATTATTTGTCTAAATCCTTCTTATGCTGTTGTGCCCCAAATGGCTTAGAGAAAGCAGCATACCACGCAACCTGCCATAGTCCAAATAAGGAGTGCAAAAGGTGACAGACTCCCAAAGGAGGGACACCAAAACATGGTTAGTGCAGGACACGTTAAAGAGGGTGGGATTCGTTTCTTAAGGGAGTCTTCCAGTAATCTTAATTATAGTAGTCTATTTCTGATCTGAGTAACTTCAGCATGGTCAGCACTTGTCATTTGCTTGTATGTTTCACCGTATTCTATGGTTTTCTTAAAGCCTCAGATACTGGAGGTATGTGACTAAGTAAGACTCTCAGCTTCCTCTTTTATATAAAAGAGACTTTTCTAGCGCTCCTCAGTGTAGAGAAAAGCTTGAAAATGTGACCCAAGTGTAAACTTGTGATGGGGTCAACAGGCTTGGCTGAAGCTTGGCTGGGAGTGGAGCAATATTCTGCTAGGGCAGGGGTGGGCAATAATTTTTGCAGGGGGGCCCACTCACACATTTCTGAAGTGGCCCCAGAAGGAGCGGAGCCTTGGGCAGAAGGGGCGGGGCCAGGAGGCTTAATGTCTGCCTCCTAGGATTGATCAAGAACCCAATTTGGAATGTGGTCAGAACAGCAGGGATTCTATCTCTAAATCTTCTTTTAAATATCATGAGCGTGGCAGTGAAAATGAGGGATCATAGCTTCGTCTTTTATATATCTCATCCAAATTCAAATCTCATCCAAACTGGGGGAGGTCTAGGTTAGATATTAGGAAAAACTGTTTCATTAGGAGGGTGGTGAAGGACTGGAATGGGTTACCTAGGGAGGTGGTGGATCTCCATCCCTAGAGGTTTTAAAAGCCCGGCTTACAAAACCCTGGCTGGGATGATTTAAAGTTAGGATTGGTCCTGCTTTTAGCAGGGGGATGGACTCGATGGCCTCCTGAGGTCTCTTCCAACCCTGTGATTCTATGAAAAGACAAATACAGGTGCTGGTAATGTACTAAAACCTCCAATCATTTCCCACGCCTGCAGGCTACACGGGTGCACCTCTCACAGGAAGTTTTGCACTAGAGAAACCTCAGTGACTTCTCTTATTTCTGATTTACACTGGCATAATCAGAGGTGAATCAGATTTACAGTGTTTATATAATCTGCCCTCTTCTTAGTTCAAAATAAAAATTAAATCATTTTCTAACCGCGCAGTCCATCTTTAAAATGCCCTTCATTGGTACCTCAGCCTGATTCAGCAGCATTATTTTCACATTTGTTATTCTTTCACATCCTGGCTCATAATAAAGTCTTGTAAAACACAGTCACTTCTACAATAGATCATGAAATTCAGAGTCTTCTCACATATAGAGGTGATGGAATTTGCGTACTGAATATAAGTGTGTTATATCCTAAATGAAAGCTATAAAATAGGGCTTTGATCCTACAAGGACTTACACAGTTACTTAGCTTTATGCACATGATTAGTCTAGCTGAAGTCAAATTATACAATGGCTCTACTGGAATGCAATTAAGTCTTTGCAGGAGTGGGATCTAAGCTATTTTGTGGAATTCTTTTGGATTGTTAGAATGTATTAAAAAAAAAACCCTGGATTTTCTGTCCTTCAAATACAGTTAAGCCTGTAGACATTATTTGAAACATGTTGTCTCTTCAGCTTTAAGACAGTGGAGGAAATCTTTAAATATCACTGAATTTGTTCCCCAAGACATTTTACCACAGAATACATTAGATTGCATACCAGTATACACATAAAAGGTGCTTAAACTTATGAAAACTAGTTATTGGTAGCTGAATTTGAAAGTAAAGAATTTGTGTGATCCTTAGGGGTGTTGGGTTTTTTCCCCTAAGTTGTTGTTGTTGGTTTTTTTTGTTTTGTTTTTTTACAATTCTCTTACCTAAACTGCATTTTCTTTTTTCTAGCTGGTATCCAAGAGGACATTTGCAGACATAGGAGCCCTGAGTGTTATTACATATGGCGAAAGCTGGGCATGGGTTAGAAAGACATTCATCCACATCTGAAACAAGGGAGAAAACACAACCACTAATACGATCACAGAAGTACAGGAATCATTGACAGTAGAACCGAAAAAGCTTATTTGGCTCATTCACAGGACCCTCTGTGCACTGCGGTATGACTCACTGCACTGTTACCACTTATTGCTGTTTATCCTGTTCTTGATTATTCTTCTGGTGCTGAGAGAATAAATGCAAAAAGCTTTTCTATTCTCATTCAGTAGTTTTACAGATTTTGCTTCAGCTCCTGAAAATAATACCTTGCTCTTATCAATCATTTTATCGGTACAGCTCAAGGTGCCTTAAAAAGGAGGTCCTCATTATCCCCACTAACCATACAGAGGTGAAGGGACTTGCCGAAGGTCACCAACAGGCTAGTGGCAGAGCCAGAAACAGAACACAGGTCTCCTGAGTTCCATACAAAAACTTCAGCCACTGGGAGCATGGCCTGTTTCTACAAACTGCTATCATTCTGGCAATGCAGACTGATTTATTTGATGCTAACACCGGTACAAGATGGCGGAGCCATGGGCTGTCATATTATCCTTTACCTTCACTGCAGTCTTCTCCTTGCCAGGCTGGTGAACACTTGCACAGATGTTTCCCCACAACACCAGTAATAATGCATTTTCCATCATGCAGACAAGGGTTTGTGGAGCAGATATTAACTGTGAAATAAAACATTTGGGGGATTAATTCCTGGCTTGGAGAGCGTGACTGTGGTTTTGTCTATTTTCATGTGCTCAGCCATACAACTCAATATAACACATTTTTATAGGACAAAGCATGGGATTCTCACCCCTTTTAAGAACTCTCCCTTTTCTGCCCATGGTTCGAAGTGCTCTTCATGATGCATGTGTTCTTCTCATTAACAGGAATATAAATTATACACCCATCCAAGTGCAAAACAGACCCAGAAGCATGGGCTTGTTAATTTCACCCGATTGTAAGACAAGCTAGGTGGCAAATGTCACTCAGATTTCTTTTGTGGTTATTGCTGAGCAGGGAAATACACAAAGGCTGGAAGGAGGGGTTTATGGTTAAAACACAGAGCTTGGATTCAAGAATTTCCATGTGTATTTCTGGCTCTGCTGCAAACTTACTATGTGGTCTCAGACAGGTCAACTTTTCAAAAATGGCCACTTAATTTAGGTATCCAGCTTAAGATGAACTGATTTTGCAGAGTTGCAGAGTGACTTCACTGGAGGTATGGGCAGTGTTCCCTCTAAGCTGTGTGGCACAGGTGATTCATCAGCCCTGCCTAGTCAGTCAGCTCCCTGCATGGAGCCCTGAGCCTCTGACTGGGCGGGGCTGATGAATCACCTGTTAAGCTATGCCGCCCTGCAGCTTAGGAGGAACAGAGGTTATGGGTGTTCAGCACCTCTGGCAAGCAGGCCTAAGGGTCTCAAGTAGGGCACCCAAACATGAAATAGCCAAAAGGTACTTCTCTGTATTTCCGTTTTCCATTTGTAATATAGGGAAGAAGTACATTACCAAGAGCAGCAGGGGAGAGGGGACACGGAATTGCATGCACACTTTTAAGTCTTCACGCCTTATTTTTTAAAATGTGAATATGTCAGAATTCTGAAACGTGGTGGGAGAAGAAATGATGAAAACACGGAAGTGTTCTCTCTCCCGCTCGCTTTTTTATGTCAAGACTTGGAATACTCTTAAAAAATCTTCAAAATTCAAAAATCTTAGACCAGCTCTAACAGCGACGAGGTAGGCATGGGACCAGGGTTCCTTCTAGGCAGCACAGCCACGCAGCTGCCTAATAAACCCCATAGAGGAGCTCAGGGCTGCGTGGCAGTTCTCTGCTGGGGGCCGGAGAAGCATGCCTCTCCCTCAGCTGCAGCAGTTCTCTGGGAGGGCCGGCAGGGAAGTGGTGGCTGGGAAAGAAATGCATGCCACCTGGCCCAGCAGCAGGGCCGGATTAAATCCAGAGCCCGGGGCTGCAGCCCACAAAGCCTTTGTGTTCTGGGCCAGACCTTCCTGGAGGGGGAAGGTCTGGGAGGCGGCTCCGTATACTGCTGTTCCACTCCCCGGCTGCAGCCACGTCAACATGAGCATCGGGAGGCTTTGTCTCTATGGTGCCCTCACCTGAAGGCTCCACCCCCACTGGTACTGCAGCCAATGGGAGCTGCAGGGGGCAGTGCCTGCAGGTGAATGTGGGGCAGCGCTGGCCACCTGTTCCTCTCCCTACCAAATGGTAAGGACCCCACAATCCTCGCCCCCAGCCCTGAGCTCCCTTCCCAGACCCTATAATCCAACCCTCAGCTTGTTCCATCATCCTAGCTCCATCCTAGACCTCACACCTCAACCCTGAACCCCCTGCTGCATCCAGTCTCCTGCCCAGACCCCGCATCCTCACCCAAGCCTCCTGCCCTGAGCCTATTCCCAAACTCTAAACCTTTGGTCCCAGCCTGGAGCACCCTCCTTTACCCCAAACACCTCGTCCCCAGACCCATCCCAGAGCCCACACTTCTGCCACAGTCCTCATCTCTCTCCTCACCTGTAGTCCCCCTTATTCTGAACCTTTCAGCCACATCTCTGCCATGGACTGACTAGTGCAGAATGAATTTTGTTATGTACACCAATATGAAGGTGGTGTATCACACATCTCCATATTGGTGCACATAAAATTCATTCCACTCACTGACATGAAAAATTAGTGGGAACACTACATGGGACTTCACCCTACCACTCATATTCATGTAAGTATTCCCACAGAAATAGATGGGATTTCTTGCATGAGAAAGGCAAGCAGGATCGGGCAATTAATTCCTTAGCATTTCTAAAACAGTTTGGAAGGGATTATAGAAATACAGAGTATTATTAAATCCAGAGTACAAAGTATTAAGACCAGGTCATCAAAAGGATTTCCTCTTTACAGTGATTGTCAAAACCTGATTTAAAAAAAAAATTATATAACAAAACCTGAATCGCTCAATAAAAGACTGCATTAAATTAGAGTCTCATGTAAAATGCATTAATCCATGTCACCGTTCCCAATATAATACTTTTATACATAAATACAATCTGTAATGAATATATTCAGTCAGAGGCCAGTCCAGTAAACACAGATTATTGGCTGCAGTGTTTCCTATTTTATATTGTCCTACTGATGTTAAAGGAACAACTGAAGTGAGTAAATATAGCAAGGATTTTCAGCCCCAGGGGCTTTAATTATGAATTATATTTCCATTCTGATTAAAACTGTTCGGAATTTCTTTAACGAAGATAAGGAGGCTTGACTAACTGAAGGTTTTTGTTATATAAAGCTCTTCATATGCTCCTCCCAGTGTACTGATGACTTAGCCACAGCTACCTTTCCTCAACCTCCTTATTCCCTTAAGGATAAGTACGTGAGTCACCATCCCAGTTCACTCCTAGAAAGAGGTTTCCCTTAGCCAAGTGTGAAGATGCCTGATTCTGCCAAATGATGTATTCTTGTTTTATGAAGTGGAGTTGTTGCCAAAGTTTCTGCTTCTAATATCAATATAGTTTTATGTTCTTAACACATAATTGGCAATGGCACAAGGCAAAAACTGGAACTTGTGTGTGGTACATTTCCCAATTTGTCTTCAAAACATAAAATAGACCAATGGATACGGAGAAGGTGACCTAGACCTTAGCAAACAGGAGAAGTGACAAATGTGAAGTAATGCACATCAAATAACATCATACTAACTATATATACAAAATGATGGGGTCTAAAGGAATTGTTACTACTTAAAAGATCTTGGAGTCATTATGTATATCTTTGTGAAAACAAAGATCTATACAGCGTGCAGCAGCAGTCAGAAAGGCTAGGAGAATGTTAGGAACCATGAGGAAAGAGCAAAATAATGTGACGATCATGACTACATAAATCTAGGGTATGTCTATACCTTGAATACCGTGTCTCATGGTTGCCCAGTCTCACAAAAGTTCAGAGATAGGAAACAAAAATGATTAGGGGATGGAACAGCTTCCATATGAGAAGAAATTAAAAAGACTGCGAGTGTCCATCTTAGAAAAGAGATTGTGAGGGAGATTATAGAGGGTTATAAAATCATGAATGGTCTGAAGAAAGTGAATAGTAAGTGTTATTTATTCCTTTACATAACAAAAGAACCAGGGTTCAGCCAATGAAATTAATAAGCAGGAAGTTGAAAACTAACATAAGCAAGTGCCTGTCCACATACCGTGAGTTATCTGTGGAACTTGGTATTGGGTAATGTTGTGAAAGACTCAAATATAACTGAGTTCAAAAAGGAATTCACAGAGGATAGGTCCATCAGTGGCTATTAGCCAAGATGGTCAGGGATGTAACAAGGTACTCAGGTACTCTCTGGGCATATCTAGACTACACTAGACTTTCGAAAGAGGATATGCAAATTCCGTGGGAATATGTATATCTTCTTTTGAGCTCTCTTTTGAAAGTGAAAGTAATTAATACGCGGTTTTGTTGGCGAACCCTCCTGTTTGTCAAAGGGCCGCATAAACCTCATTTTTTAAGGAAAAGCAGCTTGTCGACAAATGGGAGGGTTCGCTGACAAAACCGCATCTTAATTACTTTCCCTTTCGAAAGTGCGGCTTTCGAAAGTGAGCTCGAAAGAAGATATGCAAATTACTGTGGAATATGCAAATTACCCATGAGAATCAAGACTGAGGGGAAAAACAACTGAGGAGAGTTGGCAGTTTTTCAAAGGAACATTGTTAAAAGCCCAAAAGCACGCTATTCCGCTGCGTAGGAAAGATAGAAAATATGTCAAAAGACCGCCTTGGATCAACCAGGAGATCTTGCATGATCTAAAAATAAAAAAGGAGTCCTATAAAAAATGGAAAGTAGGACAAATTACAAAGGATGAATATAGATAAACAGCACAGGAATGCAGGGGCAAGATTAGAAAAGCAAAGGCACAAAATGAGCTTAAACTAGCTATGGGAATAAAGGGAAACAAGAAGACTTTTTATAAATACATTAGAAGCAAGAGGAAGACCAAAGACAGGGTAGGCCCACTGGTCAGTGAGGAGGGAGAAACAGTAACAGGAAACTTAGAAATGGCAGAGATGCTTAATAATTTCTTTGTTTCAATCTTCACCGAGAAGTCTGAAGGAATGACTAACGCAGTGAATGCTAGTGGGAAGGGGATAGGTTTAGAAGATAAAATAAAAAAAGACCAAGTTAAAAATCACCTAGAAAAGTAAGATGCCTGCAAGTCACCAGGGCATGATGAAACGCATCCTAGAATACTCAAGGAGCTGATAGAGGAGGTAGCTGAGCCTCTAGCTATCATCTTTGGAAAATCATGGGAGACAGGAGAGATTCTAGTAGAGAGATTCCAGAAGACTGGAAAATGGCAAATATAGTGCCCATTTATAAAAAGGGAAATAAGAACAACCCAGGAAACTACAGACCAGTTAGTTTAACTTCTGTGCCAGGGAAGACAACGGAGCAAGTAATTAAGGAAATCATCTGTAAACACTTGGGCTGCGTCTAGACTGGCATGATTTTGCCGCCTGTCTCCACTGGCTGCGAGTATTTGCGCAAGATCACTGACTTTGTAATGTACAAAAATCAGTGGTTCTTGCGCAAATAATCCGACGCTCCCCCTCAGGGATAAGCCCTCTTGCACAAGAGCGCCAGAGTAGACAGCCATGTTAATTTCTTGTGCAAGAAAGCCCGATGTCTAAAAGGCCATCAGAGCATTCTTGCGCAAGAGAGCGTCTACACTGGCACGGATGCTTTTGCGCAAAAGCAAATCTTTTGTGCAAAGGCACATGCCAGTATAGATGCTCACTTGCACAAATACTTTTAACAAAAAAACTTTTCTGTTAAAAGTATTTGTGCAAAATCATGCCAGTCTCGACGCAGCCTTGGAAAGTGGCAAGGTGATAGGGAACAGCCAGCATGGATTTGTAAAGAACAAATCGTGTCAAACCAATCTGATAGCTTTCTTTGATAGGATAACGAGTCTTGTGAATAAGGGAGAAATGGTAGATGTGGTATACGTAGACTTTAGTAAGGCATTTGATACGGTCTCACATGATATTCTTATCAATAAACTAGGTAAATACAACTTAGATGGGGCTACTATAAGGTGGGTGCATAACTGGCTGGATAACCATACTCAGAGAGTAGTTATTAATGGTTCACAATCCTGCTGGAAAGGACTAACAAGTGGGGTTCCACAGGGGTCTGTTTTGGGACAGGTTCTGTTCAATATCTTCATCAACGATTTAGATATTGGTATAGAAAGTATGCTTATTAAGTTTGCAGATGATACCAAGCTGGGAGGGGTTGC